TCTTGTACTCTCACGTATTGGTATTTTAGGTGCAGTGAGCGGCATGGGAATTGGAAGTTGAGGATCAAGGTTACAGTTTGATGTCGACAAGAATGTCACGAGTTTGGATGAGTAGGAAAGAATTCAGATGTTTAGAGTAAGTTGGTACTGTCTTCAGCGTCACCTGAGATCAATGTCATATGTAAGAGGCTTTGTGTACTGAATTGCGGATCCTTGTTTCGCTTTATGACATTAGTATGACCGATGGTATGGATATGCAGACTTGTTACCTGGTGCGGAAGGCCGTGGGAGCATATCCCATGGGAGGATTGTATAAGTGTGACATGTAGTCACTTGATTGATTAAAGATTGGAACCATGTATGGAGATTGTGGTACTATCGCTAATGTGAGAATTTGTGCCTGAATGGCGCTCTGTTCAATTGGTTGTGAATTGTGGAAGTTTGTTCCAGATTTGACGGTTATTCTTAGGGGTGGGTCCTTGAAAGGTTATTAGCCTAGTACAGTACGATCAGAATCGGCTTGAGGTCCGTGAATGGATCTAAATGTGAGTGTGTACTCTATATCAGGCCGGATGTGTTCATTTCAGCATAGCGTTACTTGCGGAGGAGTCTTCAGGCTTTGGATGTTATTTCTGTTGTCAACTATTCCATGTAATACTTTATTCTGCCATGTGGGTTATGAGACAGCTTGATTATTTGTACAATGTGTTGAGGTCCCGCGTAGCGGTGGTGTTATGTGAGCAGGATGGCTCTCGAGATGCAGATCATATATCGCACCTTAGTTGTGCTTGAGTTTTATAGCGTGTGACGCTACCCGTCTCCCCAGGATTTGTATTTTGCACTTGGCGTGCTTATGGTTGATATTTGGTCATTTCGTGAGTATAAGCGTTACGGCTCGATGTGTGTTTTCTTTAGATTATTATGTGTGGANATGTTGATCGGGTTGCACGCCGCAACAGTGTGATGTTGAGCACAGTTCCCCAATATCTATTCTTGTGTGTTTTGTTTCTCATTTTCTGAGGAAGGTTCATAACATCTTTTCGGTTGTTTAAATTAGTTACGTGGGTTGAGTAGTTCATTCCAGAGTTCGTTTATCCTTATATATCACATTCGAGTTTGTAAATTGTTGGCACATGGTGGCACATCATATGAGACTTTTGGCAGTGCCTGAGGTGGCTTATTGCCGGAGCAGCTTGTACTGGGTGAGACGAGATTATTGGACCTTGGATCAGTGCGATCAGATTTATATGAGGCACATTAAAGAGTAAATATCGATATTCAGTCCAGAATTAGGTAATGGTTCTTGTCGGGAGGAGAGACTCCATAAGTTGTGATTCGGCAGGTGGTTATGAGTTTCTACACCTCTTCTGTCGTGGCAGTATTGCGAGAGCTGAAACGGGACTTATATGCTTCATGAGATGTGTTGTGGGCATCAGATTCGTGGGATTTCGGCTATTGTTGTCAGGGGATGTCATTATCGTCATGTGAATAATGTGGTGCATGGTGTAAATTTGATAAGAGTATACAATCATGTATTGGTACATCGTGTAGTAATGGATACGGTGTTCGTATGTTGGGAAAAGACCTGGTAGAGGATTTCAGATGTTAGAATTTGGATCTAAGGCTAACTTGACTTAATAAAAGGGAGAATCTTTAGATTTGCTCGAGCTAATGTGCTCAACTGGTTTGTGGTAGCACGGGTAGGTGCACGAGGTGTTAAACAATGATTTCGGACAACTCCAGAGCAGTTCTTAGCACGTTCGAGGACGAACATATGTTTAAGCGGCAGAGAATGTAACAACCCGACCGGTCATTTTGAGCTCTAGCACGTCGTTCGACTGTTTGAGGCCTTGAGTAGTTTCACTTCAGGTATTAGGATTTGCACGTATGGTCGGAATTGAATTTCAGGAAGTTCGGAGTTAGTTTGGGAAGAAAATTCTAATTTCGGAAGCTTTAAGTTGGAAGAATTGACTAAGCTTTGATTTTTGAGTAAACGACCTCGGAATCGGGATTGGAAGGTTCCAACAGGTTCGTGTGATGATTTTGGACTTGGGCGTATGTCCGGATCGTGTTTTGGATGACCCGGGAGCGTTTCGGCGCCTATTGTGGAAGGTTGGCATTTTGGAAGAATTTCATAAATTTGGGTTGAAGTGCATTTCAACGTTATTGCTGTCCGTTTGGGATTTCGAGTCTGGGAATAGCTCCGTATGGTAATTTTGGTATTGGGAGCGCGTCCGGGTGTGGATTTGGAGGTCCGTAGGTCATTTCGGGGTCATTTGGCGAAAGTTAGAAATTTGAAGGTTTTTGAGAAGTTTGACCGGGAGTGAACTTTTTGATATCGGGGTCGGATTTCGATTCCGGAAGTTGGAGTAGGTCTGTAATGTCGAATGTGAGTTGTGTGCAAAATTTGAGGTCAATCGGATGTGATTTGATAGGTTTCGACATCGAATATAGAAGTTTGAAGTTCTAAAGTTCATTAAGCTTGAATTGGGGGTGCGATTCATGATTTTGACATGGTTTGAGGTGATTTGAGACCTCGAGCAGGTCCGTGTTATGTTATGGGACTGGTTCATGTGATTGGACGGGGTCCCGGGGGGGCTCGGGTGTGTTTCGGGGTGGTTTCGGACAAAATTGGAATGATTTGCTGATTACTGCTATCTGGTTTCCTTCTTTGCGAACGCGAATGGATTCATGCGTTCGCGAAGGAGACTTGTGGGGGCTGCTGGATTTGCCCATCGCGAACGCAAAGGGAGAGACGTGAACGCGGAGCTGAGGTTGTGGAAGCCTACGCGAACGTGAAGAGAAAATGAGATGAGGGCCTGCCAGGCGTTAAGCCTTCGCGAACGCGGCTTGAGGCCCACGAACACAAAGGGTAGGGAGTCACCAGGTTCGCGAACGTGGCCATTAGGTCGAGAACGCGTAGAGGAAATGTGGAGGCAGTGTGTTTAGCCTTCGCGATCGCGATGGCATTCCCGCGATCGCGAAGAAGGGCGGGCCTGGGCAGATTGGTTTTAGTGTGGGGTTTGGCTTATCCCCTCTCATTTTTCACTTAGGTAGGCGATTGTTGGAGCTTTGGAAGAGGAGACTTTCATCATCTATGTCAAGGTAAGTGATTCCCACCTATTTCAAGTTAAATAATTGGATTATATATAGATTTTAACATGAAAATTCATGGAAAAATTGTGAAACATTTGAGGGTTTGGTAGAAAACCTAGAAGTTGGTATTTTTGGATTTTGACCACAAATTTGGGCATGAAATTGAGAATAAATCATATATTTGAGTTCGTAATGTTATGGGTAATGTTTATCTTCAAATATTTTCGGAATCCGGGCACGTGGGCCTGAGGGTTGCTTATCGGCTTTTCGAGCGGAGTTGGAAATTTTTCTAAATTGGAGCGACGGGCATCGGTTTGAGGTGTTAGAGGGCTTTGGAGCCGGTTATGAAATTTCGGAGTGAGGTAAGTCTCATGTCTAACTCTGTGAGGGGGACATTACTCCTAGGTGTTGTATATTGATGTGTGCTACTTGTTGTGGGGGCTATGTACGCACGAGGTGACGAGAACCCGTACGTAGCTACATTCATGTTATTGTCCGGGTAGGCTTAGGTTCACATCATGCTATAGCTGTACTATTTGAGCAGTCTCTCGCCTATTAAATTCCTCTGTTTTACATTACTACTGGAGACTAGACTTGCTATTGTAGAGACTTCACGAGTTCATGATTAGTCACCGAAAAATTTTACTCATCTTACGACATGTTTCCGTGATATATATGTTTCATTGAAAGGTTTTTGTTAAAGAAATTACAACTCACACGTTTATTCGCGAGTGGGGTCAAGGAACCGTCAAAGCTCCTTATTAATGGTATCGGGCCGATCGCCTCGGCAGGATTAGGTACCCCTTATTCTAATAGGATCGGGCTGATCGCCTCTGCAGGACTATGTACTTCTTATTCTAATGGGATCGGGCCGTTCGCCTCGGCAGGATTTATGTACCACACTCTCACGGGAGCGGGCCGTTCGCCTCGGCAGTTTAATAGATGCATCTATGGTTCGTGTCGTTTGACCCTCGGCAGTGCACAGTTTATTATTTATGTTGGATCGGGTCGTACGCCTCAGCATTTCTATAAAATTATTCTCATGGAATCGTGCGTAATATTTGGCAAGAAGCCAGAGTATCTGTGAGTCTTTCCCTCATTCGAATTATAACAACCTATTTCGTGAGGTCCATTATACATACATATACATACATATATATANAGGTTAGGCTGGATACTTACTGGGTACACGTAGATTTACGTACTCATGCTACACTTGCTGTACATTTTTGTGCATGTACTTTTATGTTCGGTGGTCCTTTGGGCACGGAGGCACGGATGATGCCACTTGCCGCGAGCTGCATTTCAGGTTGCGATCCGCAGCCAGCAAAGTCTCCTCCAGGGTTATTTGTATTTTTCCTGTCTAATTTATATTCCGGACAGATACTGTATTTTATTTTACTTCCTAGTTGATGCTCATACACTTGTGACACCGGATTTTGGGGGTACTTACGAGTTGTTCAATATTGTAATTATAAAAATATTATCATTTACTCTGCAAATTTTATTTCTGATTATTTAATTAAAGGAAAATTTTGATTTCAAAATACAAAAATGAATAATCGAGTTAATCAACTATTGTTGGCTTGCCTGGCAGCGGTGTCAGGCGCCATCACGACCATTAATAAATTTTGGGTCGTGACAGTAACACCAAGCAACTTAGCTTGAGAATCCTTTCCCAGGAGATTCATAAACTCCTAGACGATTTCTGTGGACTTTGTTGCACCAAAACCTTCGCAATTTGCCAGTAGTAACCAAAACAGTTCTATCTCTACGAGCCAATGTACCTATAATATTCAACTGTCGACTCATGATAGCTTCCCGACGATTGAGCAGTTCAAACATTTTATCAGTCATGGGAAACAAAAAGTAAGCTGTAGATATGCAGCAACCAAACAGAAACATGTTGGTAAAAATCAACAAGCTCGCTTGTTGAATCATTTACATTGGCATAAACAATTTGCTAATACTGCAGAGGCTGGACTCTGTCAAAACTTGAATTTACATAAACCCAGCTTTACATATTAAGTTCCCACATCATAATTTTTATCTGTTTATATCTTACAGTATGTACACAAATATGAACTGCACAGATCAGAACTCTGAAATGTGAAAATAGCAGCTGCTATCAAACAAATACAACTGGCTTATCGAGATATTATATGGGTCCTCCACTCGTCGTTCGTCCCTATCCCCTAGGGTTCATTAATTTCAATATGGTCTCCTCAGAGGATAGTACTCTCGAACATAGAGAAATGGTGAACAGTATGCAAAGACCATACTATGCAGTACCCGAAGTGAGCAACACTTTCAAGTTGGTTGTAATCGATGACTTGATTTGCACTGCTTCTCCATGTCCATATCATAAGATGAAAGCAGCTGCCTCTGCATCAAGAATAAACTATCAATTTCAGGTAAAGAAAAGCAAATAATTACTCTGCATGATAAGAGGACACGCTAAAAGAACCAGCAGATGCCTTACCCAACCAAAAGCTCAAGGTAAGAAACCATTTAAAAGCTATCAGAAATCAGAATGCAAAGAGTAATGTACTTACATGATGCTCAAAATCAGGGCTTGTAAGATTGATGGAGAGGTTTCTCATCAGCAACAACACCTGGATAAGGGCCAAGAAAAAGAATGATTAATTCTAAATCAATTGCAGTGGCACCACCTCCTACTTAGAAGCATATGATTAATCTCTTTTTTATGGTAAACATGATTTAAGATAACTGAGAAATATATATATATTATATCAATCCGTGTGTGTGATGAATCAAAGCCCAACCACCCGGGTGGGGTGGAAGGGATTAGGGTATTGTGGATTTGGTTTTCAGGTGCATTCTATATCTTGAAAACATCCTTTATTCACATATACAGAGATGCAAAGCAAGCCCAAACACCAAATTCAAGCCTTCCAAAAGTTCTAATTATTCCCTCATATTGGCAAGCTAGATCGAATGCCCACATACATGTCAACAACATGCCAAAACAAGTATTCACTAAGCAAATGAAGATTGAATCTAATACTCTATGAAAATCTTATATCCAGTGCTCTGATCTGTTGCAGGCAAAGAGTTGGTAGGGATACAAGGGAGTAAAGTACGCTCCTTTCCTTTCCTTCTAGTATCTAAAGAGGAGAACTATTCATCGCAATAAGAAGAAATTTGAAATCCCTCCGTCCCTCTTCCCTCCTTCCTAAGTAAATGCCAGGTAGTACACATTAATTTGATGAGAAAGGCTTCCTTGAATAGAGCATAAGAGCAAATCCTCCTTGTATGCGCATAGAAATGGCAATAATTAGGCCTTCGATAAATATAATAATGAAAGCTCAGAGGAACCTATGCGGAAGCTTTATCTTCAAAAGTACACAAAGTTCAAGGTATCATGCAAATAAAGGAAAACTTAAATCACAAGAAAGAGCAGTTAAGCCACAGAACTAATGAAACAGCACACAGATTAGAGAGTATACCGTCTCAACATCAATGCGATCCATTTTTTTCAATTTCTGCAAGTGTCCGGTAACAGCAGGGTCGAATACGCTGCCGATGAAGTTGTATACTTGAACAAAGTCAGGCAAAACTGCAGCAACAAAAAAAAAAATTGATAGCAACATCAGCACTGCAAATATCAAACTAAAGCATCATGTCCATATGAAAACCTAAAACACTGATTAGAACAGAATCTTTCGTTCTACTTACTAAAGAGAACTGTAGTTCTACAGAACTGAGTGTGAAACTAACAGGAAATAGAGCTAAGGATAAAATGGCATAAAGTAAATCAGATTTAGATCTAGGCAGAATCAAAGCAGGCAGGTGCACCAGGAAGCCATCAAATGCAGCGAGGACCATAGCAGCAGATCAAATATGTTTTAAAAATGTAGGGAGAAATGCAAAGAAAAGGAATGATTGCATATCATACTTCGCATCTGAAGAAATATCACACTGAAATATTGGAGGAAACTTTCTGGACCAGTACTGCAAACCACGGTTCATTAAAAAACTACACATTTTCACCAGAACAATAAGCAGATATTGTTCGATTCTCTAATATTTCTCTGGATCACAATTCAGTGACACAGATCCAGCAGCTCACAATCAGAAACACGCAAAAGAGCAGATAACAAGCAGTCCTTTCATCTTGCTCATTCACAATCAGATTTCTAATTTTGTACGAGGACTCAACAACTGCAGACTTTTATCAATTAATAAGAGAGATGTTAAGGCGAGTGATTTTCAGACAAAAGGAGTGAAGTTCACACGGAAGAAGAAATTCATGCTGGAACACATTAAGTCTAGTGGTGAAAGGCCGAACAATAAAATAGGGTAAGGGAAGATTTCAGGTACTTCCAAATTGAAGCCAGTCCACTAGGTTTTAAAAAAATAAAGGGAAAAGTTTCAAATTTGCCCATGTACTAATTGAAATTGAGCAACTTTACCGTCCATTAAACTTTTGGTCTAATATTATCCGCGCCTTTAGGGAAAAGTCTCATTTTTTCCCCTTGACCCCTAACAGACCCAAACTTAGGGTATAGTTAAAAGTTAAGTTTGGACCTTTTCTCCCAAAGAATTTGGACACGCATGGTCCACCCATTTCACGCTGGAGCTCTGTCAATGGCAAAAGCAAATACAAGATAATTTGCAAATGGCAACGGTATGAATTAGCCAAAAGCATCACGAAGGGCAAAATTCAGCAATTTCGGATAGTACATGGGCAAATGTGCACCTTTTCCCGAAAAAAATCACTCTTGGAGCCAAGGAATAGAGGCTGGAATGATGATAACCTAACTAGAAATCTAACAGAGAATTGCTTGGTTGACAATCAATATGACAGTGCAATCATGATACACTGATTGAAGCTGAGATCTTGAAGAAGAGCTTTTTAAGAAAGGAGATGAAACTACTCCATATCCCGGCTACAAATGTAATCAGGATTGTGGTAACTGCAACTACGCAAGGTGGCCAGTTTTAAGATATGCTGCACAGCTTTCGCACCCTTATGCAGGTATTAGACCACTGGGGCGGTGCGTACCAAAAGTATTTGGTCAACACAACAAGACTCTGCCCAATCACATATTATATCCTTACCAGGAGTTTCAGCAATAAAATCTTGATTTTTAAAAGAAGTAAACTCTGAGATTTCCAAGCTGGGAAAAGACAATGCAAGTAATTAAACAAGATATGAGAAACACAAGGCATGTTCAATTTCCAGGATAATTTTGTCTTATGAAAAGATCCGGCCTTTAAGTTGATTAACTTCATTTTCCTCCAATTGTGTTTGTATTTGTCTTGTCAAAGATATTTTTGCCAATCTATCCTTTAGGACTTTTATCGTGCCGTTTTATTCTCCATTTTGCCATGTTATGGCCAAGTTAAGAATTTTGGGCTGCAAGTCAAGAGTCTTGACGACAAGTTTTGGATAGCAAATGCTGAGAGGAATATTGTCAAACGTTCTGCGAACAGCTTGTCCTCCAAGCACCACTTGGTTTCCAAGTAACTTCCCCGTAAAAGGCATATGTATCATAATGTTCAATTAACTTTGAAAAAGAATGTCTCAGAAATACAATGTTCCTGCACACCTCTTCATGTCCTTCTCAACCCCCTCCCTCCTCTTAGTTCTCTCAATTTTGGCTCATGAATTCTCCTTTCTTTTTTTTGTTGGTAATTTTCATGAATTCTCCTTTCTGAACTTTCTCATTATCTGTCCAGCCTAGAAACAGGACTTCTGTAACTTATCAGTTCATATCAGGCTCGCTTCGACTTTCAATTCCATCGGTCTAACCTTTAGAAAATAACAAACTTTTCTAAGTTGTTCTCTATTGTTTTAGAATCTTTATTGTAGAAGGTTAAAGAATCTATATATCAATTAGTTTTATTTTGGGTTTTTATTGGGGAAAACCTTTTTATATTGAAAGCTTTTCTATGTTTTCCAAAACTGGGCAAGTAGAGAAAATTGTAGATCACTCTCAAAGTCAGGATATGGTGCAGCTTAAGGTTATTATTGGTGCTCTGGGCACATAGAGTTTGTCTGAAATCACAAATATATACTCTCTAAGCAGTTGCCAGCATCTACTGAAGCAATCCATGCAAGGTACAAAAATGAGGTTTTCCCACATTGAACCTGCCACATCTCCTTTACTTGCTAATATCAAGATTTGCAACATTTAATAAAGTGCAGGAAACGTTGCTCGACTAGACTTTTTGAATTCATTTACCTCCATAAAGGACCAAGCAACATCTAGGAGTACAGATTGCAACAATAAACTATCCCTCAATCTCCCATCTTTTCAGTTAGGATTTTGGAAGCCAAGGGATGTTAGAGATGAGTGAGTAGAAACCTCTGTAACACAGACTTTCCGCCCTTACGGGCCAATTCGACTGTCTGTAAGTAATTTGTAGGCTACATCTACATACAGCTTTTGTCTAGCTTTATCGTATTTCATATCAGACACGTCAAATATGAGTACAAAGACCCAATATAGATTAGCTAGAATCTAATTTGTGGATAGCATAACTTGACTAGATAAAAGTTTATGAAACAATTGTGCTCTAGTTATTATCAATACTTGGAGCAAATTAAATTGCACGACTCAACTTCATTCTAGTTATTATCAATATCTCAACTGAATTAACAGCTTCAAGTAGGTCAACCACCTCTGTAGACACCAAAGAAGACAAAATATCGAATATCGCAAACACCAAAGAAAAAATATCGATTACTACAGTTCTTTCAGCAATAGACCACCAATAAGCAGATGCACTGCCCAAGCTTTTAGCTTTTTTCATGTGATCAGTACAGCACCCAGGCTTTAAATTAAGTAGATATCAATTCAAAAAGCATGGAATAGAGTGTATATTTACTTAGCAATTTCATTATAGATTAGAAGTAAATAATTATAAACACATTAAAAATAATTCAGAGTTTGGAACCAAAGTACTTGAAAATACAAATGTTCTTCTTTGACTCATAAAACAAAGGAGGAAAAAAAAGTTCTTGAATATATGTTGTGAGAGCCTCAAAGCAAATCCACCTTTCTTCTTCATCTGTGTTATGGAGATTGGTCATCATAAGCATAGTTCACATTCCTTATATCTCTTACGTTTGTTATAAACAAGTACTACAGAACACAGTATAAGACACTAAGAAAAAAATATCGATATGGTGTGGACACTTAAAAGAGTGCTATGACTTTTCAATTTATATGTATTCATATGTATAACTTTTTGATGGATCTAGAGGATCTGATAGTGACAAATTACTTGTTAACTTATAGATAGTACGATATGATAATCACTTGCAATGTGATTAAGTATACTTAACCAACACACAATAGGCATTACTTACTCATATGAAACGGATTCAGTTTATCTAGAAGCTTTTCTTCCCATGAAGAGACACCACATTATTTTCTTTTGAGAATTGAGATGAAATAAGAGTAACTTGTTGAAGAGACTCCACATTCATTAAAAAGAAAGAGAAAAAGGAGACTCCATATTGATCAAAATGAAAATATCAAAGAAAACAAAGAAATTTAGAACCATTAAAAATGACACAGAACACTTCAAGAGAATGGTAGAGAGAATTACAATGGTATGTTATTGTAGGATAATATTTTACGGCCCAGAATTTTGTCTAATTTCAAGTCTAAAAGTCAACATGATAGGTTGATAGTTTTGTCTTTCTGGGCTGATAATTTCTATCTTTTGAAATCCTTGCATCTACTTGATGCCTTAGTTAATGATATCTGACTTATTTCATCAAAAAAAAAAGTCAACATGATAGGTATCTGAAGAATATCGACTTGCCTCTCAATGAAGGTCCCTGAGTCCGCTCCATCACATCACCAGTTGATTTTGATCCTGGAGTGCTTTCATTACTACTGCAACAATGAGTATTGGCCACAGGTTGACCTGTTTCTCTCACGTTATCTATAACAGAACAGACAATTACTTTAGTGCAACGTCTAAGATGCGATGGACGTGAGACAACAGCAATTATACAAAAGTGAGCCCATCAATAACTAGACCTTTCTTCATTTGGGACAAACTGACTGGTGGCACAGAGTTGTCAGTCCATGATGGCATAGATGCAACAGTAACTGGATTGCTATGTAACAAAGAAGTATCAGGCCTTTTTACAAATCCAGGATCCGGTAATGGAAGTGAAGCTTGAAATGATGCAGTCACCGGTGAGAGAGCTGGAGCTGCCGACATATTCAGAAAGTGAATATAATTATTTCCAGGTACAGGTGGTCGTAACAAAATTAACCACATAAAGAATGATTCCTACCACTTTTTGAGGCTTTCTGAGGGTAGGGATGAGCAGCTTTTCTTTTTGGCCGAGGAGGAGGTAGATGTTCATTGGTTCCGCTCTTCTGGACCTTCAGAAAATATTTTTGAGCATGGCTACGTATCTGCAAAAAGTGATCAAACTTTTTAAGACACGCTCTGGACCCGTCTCCAAAGATTCATGTATAACGCAAAACCAAAAGTACTGCTTTTGATTCGGTTCCCCTCACTTGGTCTCGGTTTTTAAATTTTAGATACGCAAACCTCACACCCACCTAAATATGGTTTCATTTTTACAATTCAATTCTTTTGGTTTTGGCTCTGATTTTGGCTTGTGTTTGGGCATCATATTTGGGTTGAGGATTCTATTTGATTAATAAACAATATGATCATATTATAAGTTTGAAAGGCTATTGGGTAATAGGGCAATAGAAGGGAGGGTAAACAAAACAGGTAACTAAGTGAGAAAGATAAAAATCAACAGCACCTTGTCCCAGCCCAAAGAAAGAAAATTAAAAGAATCAAAACAAAAAACAAATCACAAAGACCCATATACTAAAACTTCTACTGGCTTTTGTGGGGAACCACTCGTGCCACAGACATGACAGAAAATCAACTAGTATATACGGGTGAACGCTAAATCCCATTGGATTTTCAAGCAGAGGAATAGTTGATGGGTTCCCTTTTTTAATTGCTAAAATAGTTGATGGGTTCTGGAGTAGCAGCCTTTGCTGGTGGCAGTTTGAAGAGCTAAAAAAGGAGAAATCTGCTCACAATGATATCCAATCTGCCCTTTTGCAGAAATGCATCTGGGTATTTGCTGCAGTACTATATTGGTACTGTTTCTTAATGAAACGTCCTTATAAAAAAAATGACGATGCATCTGCCCTCCCAGCTCCTTTGGAACATATGAAAGAATTGAAGACACGGGGGAAAGCTGGAAGAAAAAACTATGAGAGAGAAAAGAATGGCTGACCAAAGATGTGAAAGGCCAAAACTCTTCTATAAGCACATAACTTCTACTCTTCAGTTCAGTTAGTCCTTTTTTCTTTTTCAAAAGCAGAAAATCGAATAACAATACGAACCAAATAAACCAAAAATTTTGGTTTGGTCGGTTTTCCAGTAAAAACCAAATAGTGCACCTCCTAAAGCTTATGTTAGCAAAAAGAAATTTAGTGCACTTTGTTTCATTCAAGTAAACAACTAGATCTAATCAAAAGCCACTAAGGCTTCAGAAAGTCGCTTTTAGCCTCTACTAACCCATATTCCTTATAACAAGTGACTCTATCAGCAGTATCAAAAGGCAGAACCCATTATAACTTCATACCAGACAAACACTCCTGCCACAACTGTAAAAGATATGCACGGTGATCCTAAGAAGTTAAAAGTACTTGCAACAATCAGGATAAATCTTTAGTCCCTTGATCATCCATTTTATCCACACAAAAAAACTAGTAATTTAGGCAAATGATAGTTAATCGTGTGAGCTCATGTTGGGCTTTTTCCACTAGGCTATCCCTCACTTGTTGATTATTTGCCATGTTATATTGGCAAAATTAACAGTTAAACAGGATATAGTTAACTCGGTGGTTCCTTATAATGGCTAACTCGATGGCAGTAACCAGTCAGCATAATAAGAATTACCTGAATAACAGTTTTTGATCCAACAAACGCTTCAATCTTTTTCCAGTCCCGGTCAAACCTGTATGTTAACAAAACAGGTAATCAGTAAAAAAGACAAACTCTTAACTCAAATGAGACACCTATTCTTTTTATTCTAGAATTTAGAAAATATTGGCCATAAGCAAAGTAGTCACATTCAGTAAAATGAAGCTATTTCGTTGGCAAACAAGACTAACCACTTCCAATAAAATGTTGAAAATACATTGACGAAAATGGAATCGCATTCAAATTCACATAACAATCCTTATACCAACTCAAATTAAAAACTCAAACTTTCAACCCTAAACCCTAGTTAAGAAAATAATAATAAAATAGAATTTAGCGATAGAAACTGTATAAAATTACGAACTCACAGTTGAAGAGCTTCAAGGAACTTATCGTGCTCGGGTTCGGTCCAGCTTTCGCGGGACTTGGTAATGGTGTAGGGTTTTCGAATTTTCTTTGACAGGTCATCGGAAGGCGATAACGGGTTGGAGGCCGACGCAATTGCGGCGGCGGAAGCTGTGGCGGTTGGGTTGGAGAAGGAGCAAAGATTAGGAAGGGCCATGACCATGGGATTCAAGCGAGCGGGTTGGGGTTCATGTGATGTTTAAGGTTAGCTCCTATAGACCTATAGGCTTTGTTTGGTTGCTGGTTCGGGCTTTATTGGTGTAAAGCTGATCCGGTTTATTATGCCGAACATTTGTTTTTGTTTTTTGCGACAGCCAAACATAAATGTTGTCATTCCTTTCTATTTGCTTCTTTTCCTTTTTTTAACTTTTCCTTTTTTTGTCCTTTGACAAACAAATATGTGAAAAACATTGCGAATGCTAAAACTATAAAAAAAATAATTTATGTTTGAGATAGAATTACTGAATAATAAATAGTTGTGTTTGGTAAAAAACGTTAATAAAGTCTTTTCTTTAAAAGGCTAAAATATCCTTAAAATTATATATAAGTCAAATTTAAGAGTATCACTATATGAAAATGACAAGATGGTTGAAATAGAATAGAAAAGAAATTAGGAGTTTTGTTTCGCAAAATATATTTCATGGATTACAAAAAGTTAGATATAAAATAGCAAAATATTTGATCGAACCAAAAATACTTATAAGGTGAAAAGTCATAAATTTGAGGTGATTTAACCTATGATTTTAACTTATAAGCACTTCAAGGGGTCGATTAGTTTAGAGATAAGTTATCACGGATTATAATGTAAAGATTAGTATTGCAAAAATTGTAATATAAGGATTAGTAATAGATGAATTCAATGCAAGAAATAGTTTTGCATAAACTGTAATTAAAAGGTTAAATATGTTTTTATTTATTTTTAAAATTGTTTAATACATTTTGGTCATTTTATTATTTTTATCCATGTATTACTAATTTTTATATTCTTATTCTATCTTCTACACACCCCCCCCCCCCCATAAAATAATACGCAAAATCCTGCATAACTTATGAAGGTATGTTATTTTGAGAATAAGAAAAATGAAAAGCAAATAATATTATGGACAATTCTGTCACGACCCAATTTAGGATCATGATCGGCGCTTAGGAGCAAGTTCCCACAAGTAAGCCTCATCGGTATTTTACAGAAAATCGAACAGAGTTTTCCCTGTTTTAGGACTATTCAAAAGTTTTTATCTCATAAACAAATAACAACCAACCAATATTAACATAAATCAGTCACAATCTTCATCAACTAACCAAAAATAAGTTTTCACTAACATTACCAACATAATAATACTAAACCCATCTCAAAAATACGGAAAGAAAGTGCAATTCTAGTAGCTAGTCCAATATAACGAATTAATACTTATGACACTAATAAACATGACTATGGAGCGACTCTAAGAGTTCAAAAAAAAAGACGATAACAATAAATAAATTATTCATCCACGCGAACAAGTGCGGGGCTCACCAGGAACTATCAACTCGTGTACTCTAATTAACGAAATACTCATTCGTGTCAACTGTTGTCTTTGTAAAAAAAAATAGGGAGGAGTGAGTCGCTAGCCTAGTGAGTAATAAGACTTAACCACAATGTTTTTATTGGGGACAAGTCAGAAAATATGCATGTATAATATTATTCAGAAACTATCATAAAAATAAAATACCCTCTCAAAAACGATAAATATAATCAGTCTATTCATGTGCTTCCTGTAACAGAAATCAATTTAACACATCGGTAATAACTCGATAAATATAGTCTCATAGCAATTCTTTATGTTTGGGAGGTTTTCAAGAAAGGATCATATAATCTGCATCACTATGTGGACCACTTCAATGACCCGGCCGATCGTTTTGAGTATTGTAGCCATGTTCCCCTATTTATTGCTTATTCTATATCCATTTGTGGTTATGTGACTTGCCGAGGTAGTTGGTTTAGTTCCAGGGATATTTCGGAATGAATTGGGAGACTTAGTCCCAAGGTTGGAAGCTTAAGTTGAAAGAGTTGACCAGATATTGACTTATGAGTAAATGACTTCGGAATGGAGTTTTGATTGTTCTGATAGTTTCGTATGGTGATTTGAAATATAGGGGTATGTCCAGATATTGATTTGGACATCTGTAGGTTGTTTTGGCTTGAATTGGCAAAAATTAGAATGTTGAAGGTTTGGAAAGTTGAGAAGTTTGACCGAGAGTTGACTTTACTGATACCGGACTCAGATTTTAGTTTCGAAAGTTGGAATAGATCCGTTGTGTCATTTAGGATTTGTGTGCAAAATTTGAGGTCAATCGGAGTTGGTTTGGTGTGTTTCGGCATTGGTTTTAGAAGTTTGAAGTTCAATAGTTCATTAGGCTTAAATTGGGGTGCGATTCGTGTTTTCGATGTTGTTAGATGTAATTTGAGGCTTCGACTAAGTTTGTGTCGTATTTTAGAACCTGTTGGTATGTTTGGATGGGGTCCTGGGGGCTGATTCAGATCATGTTCGGCTCATTTTGGACTTATTGGACTATTGTAATTTCTTTATCTGGTTTCCTTATACGTGTTCGCGAGGAAGGGATCGGGTCGTTTGCCTCGACAGGATTTATGTACCACACTCTCATGGGAGCGGGCCTGTCACGCTCCGAAATCGTGGAGCGCGACCGGCGCTCAACCGAGTAAACCCAGTCGAGCAAGCCTAATTTACATTAACCTCTCATCATTACTCATGCATGATTTACCATAACATAATAAAATCTTGACTTTCATATTAAATACACTTGGCTCAATGGCCCATATTTTTTTTCTCGTGGTGGTTACACAACTCTATAAATAGCTGTCAATATTGTGAATATAAATACATGACAAAACTCAAATCTTTAATTACATGACCCACAGTGTACATGGAGCTTCTATGACAATGGATACCTATATACATAAAACGAACTAGACCCAAGCACCCACTAGAACTGTAGCGGGCTCACCATAAGCTGAGTAGTGAAGAAGATCCCTATCAAAGATCCATATCATCCTGTAGAAGTATAACTGCATCCATTAAAAGATGCAGCGCCCCCAGCAAAAGGGACGTGAGTACATGTGGAATAGTACTCGTATGTAAGGCAGTCAAAATAACATATGAAAATACGGTAACTCAAATAAAAGGCAATTAAAGTACATCAAGAAACTACGAAACATCTAATAAAATCACATTTCAAGTCTTATTATACTTGCATCATTCTAACCTTCTTTTAGGATCAACTGTACCATATGGACTATACGTGGAATACATAATATAATGTAATTGTAACAACATGTACAAACAATGCCAATGAAAGTGGAACCTTCCTCCCTTAATTTACACATATACATTTCGTAGACCGTCCTTAGTGTTCACATATCATATTATACACATATGCGTCTCATAGACCGTTCACAGCGTTCACTTACACAATACAAATACACCTATTCAAGGGCTTAGAAATACAGCATGAATATGATGAATCATGATAACAATAAATGGGCTTAGATAGCCGTTAACGTCAAGCAAATTTATTAAGAGCTTCCATTCAAATTTATCGATATTAAGTCAGGGATCCTTTATAACCACCTTCACACAAAGCGGCCCTGCCGCCTCATCCCAATATATGCGGATGGAGGTGTATCACAATACCACAGTTCTAACACAAAGCGGTCATATCGCCTCACCCCAATATACGCAGGTGGAGGTGTATCACCATACCACAATCCCAACACAAAGCGGCCCTGCCGCCTCACCCCAATATATGCGGATGGAGGTGTACCACAATAGCACAGTTCCAACACAAAGCGGTTATATCGCCTCACCTCAATATACGCAAGTGGAGGTATATCGCAATACCACAATCCCTACACAAAGCGGTCATGTCGCCTCACCCCAATATATGCGGGTGGAGGTATATTCCACAATACCACCATCCCTACACAAAGCGGCCCTACCGCCTCACCCCAATATACGCAAGTGGAGGTGTATCACAATACCACAATCCCTATACAAAGCGGTCATACCGTCTCACCCCAATATATGTGGGCGGAGGTGTATTCCACAATACCACAATCCCTATACAAAGCGGTCCTACCGCCTCACCCCAATATATGAGGGTGGAGGTGTATTCCACAATACCACAATCCCTATACAAAGCGGTCCTACCGCCTCACCCCAATATATGAGGGTGGAGGTGTATTCCACAATACCACAACCCCTACACAAAGTAGTTCTACCGCCTCACCCCAATATATGGGGGTAGAGGTGTATTCCACAATACCACAATCCCTACACAAAGCGGTCCTACCACCTCACCCCAATATATGCGGGTGGAGGTGTAATCCCAATCACAATACCATATATAAACTCAAAGCAACATAGTTTGTCATTACATTTAATGTCATAATTACTCATATCATTGGAATACTTCATGTTCATGCTCATCATGGAGAAACACAACTCATTACATTAGTGCATACATGGTAAATCAATAAGTCAATTTCAATGGCACATGGGCCCAATTCCTTTTCTTAAGGTTCATCATCATTTACCAAAGGACATCTCCCTTCCATCTCATTATTCACTCCCTTGACCTCTTGAGGTCATTATCTAGGTTCATGACTCTTGGGGACTTAACAATCAAAGTCATTTACATATATTATTTTAGAAGCATACAAATATAGTCGAAACCATTGGGACATACAACACTTCGAAATTCTCATTTAGGCAACGATCACATTTCATGTTTATACTATCACTTACTTGTACTTGCCATGGGTGATCATAGAACATTAAGAGCATTTAGAAAATTTAGGAACATCATAGCCTTTACTCGCAAGAACGTAGGGGCTTATAACACATTGGAAATAAAAGTACAAATACGTACATCTCATAATCTTTCACACCCTATATCACGTAATCCGTACTTTCAATCACTCACAACATTATTATTTTATTGGCTCTCTTGGCCATACATATGATTCTTCTTTCATGACACAATGGCCGTATTTCATATTCCACACTTTTATATCTTTCCTTTCATGGATCATCATCCTAAATATCAACATATACAATATCCCGGAAATCACAACTTTATGTTCATTAGTAATGAAGGCTTTAAACACAATGGATTTCTTCTTGAATTATTTTTTCCCAAAAAGGACAATACACAATTTCCACTCACGAATATGTAAGAATGCAAAACACATTGAAAATACTCACTA